ATTATTACGATTATTCAGTAAAATATTTCCAGCTTAATCATGTATTTAAGTTTCATTGATAAACCTTACACTCAGAGTTTCAGTGCCAAATAGAGTCTGCTAAATATCAAAAAGAATTATAGAAAATCTTTTAATAGGTCTATTTGGAATGAGTTTATTGTTTTCTTCAGCAACTATTCTCCATGAGAAATAATATTCAAGTAGATTTCCAGATATAGAAACTTCAAAATTTGAAGGGCTTATTGTTGTTGAATTTTGAATGAAAATCTCCTCTGTAAATTCGAAAAATATTTGATTAACTTTGCTCACAGAAATAATTTAAAAATCTGGGCTAATATTCTCTCTACAAGTTTAGTTAGGGAATATGCATTCATATCCAAACTCCAATTCACACTAATCATTGCAACCATCACCTGATATTAGATTGCCATCATCACATTATTTTTCTACAACAATTCCATCTCCACAAATATCTTCGCACTCACCCTCTTGATTTGTTCCAATTCCATAGAAATCTTCGCATTTTATACAGATGAATAATTGCTCGTTGAATTCATATCCTTATATACACTATAGGCAGTCATTCACATTACGACCAATGCATCGTTTGCAAGTAGAATGGCAATCTTAGCATTAGCCACTAAATTGGTTATTTACTAGGTAAGGAAACCATTCAAAATATTATTTTTCCTTGCATTTCGGTGCTTTGCATTCAGTACCAATTAAAAGATAGCCCATAATCACTAGTAAATTTTTCTCATTACCTTAATAAGCATGCTCGCAACTATAGCAATTAGAGTAACTTGGACCATAGCATTTGGTACAAAATCGGTGGCATTCTATAATTGTATTTAGGTAAAGAAATAAAATTACTTTTACAAATGCCCTCATAATTGTCCCCATAAAATCCATCTGGACATGTCTTCCAGCATCCTCCATTGTATGAATAAAAGCCAGCTTTGCATCTTGAACATTAAAATGTACTATCTGGTCCTGAGCAATACACACATTCTTGAGGACATTTTTTGCAAGTTTTGTCTATATCATCAGCATAAGTTCCTGGAAAGCATTAATCCAAGCATTCATTGAAATAAAAATAGAATCCTTATTTGCATTCCTCGCAAGCATTATAGTCAATATCCCAGCAAGCCTGGCACTTATAATAACAGGCTATAATGATTAATTCATTCAAAATATCATACGTCTAACAATAAATTTGAACTTAACGCTAGTTTACTAGTTAGCATTATCTACACCAATGCACTCTAAATTATATGAACCTATGTTAGCATCATTCGTATACCCACCAAAAGTTCCATTAGGGAAATTCTAGAAGATAAAGTAAGGCAATTGCTTTTTTGAGTCTTCCTCCTAAATATAAAAGGTAAAGTCTATACCTTCAGGATCATAAAGCACGTTCGTGACATTGATAGATTTCATAAAGGCAGAATTTGTTTGTGTACTAATGTCTTTAAGTGGTTTAAGAATTCTTAATGGCCAGTTTTAAATTATTTCAACTTTAAAAGAAAGAGTTGATGGCACTGAAATTGAGTCATCTAACTAAATTTGAATTGAGTGATTACCACCAAATGAATTGTTAGTCCCTTTAATATCCATTTTTAGATTTTATGTATTCCAATCAAGCCATTAAATAGTCATTGGATTATACAGAGTTCCGTTTATTAGCAATTTAATAGTAAAAGGCTCTCCAAATTAATCTGAAAAGAACCCATCAAAGTTTTACGTTATATTTTCTGGGATTAAAAACCTGATATCATTTTAGACCTAATTGATTTGAACTTGTGGCTTAGGCAGAACATCTAGCGAAAAAGTGTAAATATTAGGAGGTCCATCATATTAATCATTTAGTTAACAAGTAAAGGTATAAGTTCCTGCATATGAATTGTCTCTAGGTGACTAACCCAAGATAGATACATTACTAAGAGGATCTATAATTGTTGTAATCCAGTTAGCGCTTAAACCATTATTGGTTGATGTGGTGCAAGTAAATTAAACTGTATCATCCTCTCTATCAAACACAAAGGAATACGGGAAACTAAATTAAAACTTTTAAGTGATGTATATTGCAGGAATAGTATTTGAAACTGTTTGAGCAAGGTATGGAGCTAAATTATCTTTGATAATTAAACTAATGAAGTAAGATCTCTTAGTAAGAACATTCCATTCATCCCAAATATTCACTTATATATAGTATTATGTTTGAGTGCCAGAGGCTGGCTAAGAAGGATTATTTACGATGAATGATATTTGATCTTAATTTGATACAAGCAATTAAAACCATGGCACACTTATTGTTGCATTATTTGCATCCAATATAAATGCTTCAAATGAAGAAATATCCATCTCTCTGTCAAATGATTGATAGATAAGCCATTCGTAATTGTGATGAGCAAAAATAACAACATTTGAATTGAAATCTTCCAAGACATATGGTGCTTCATTTCCTGCAATCTATATTATTATGTCTGTATAATTTGTTGAGGAAGGAAAGGCGCTAACAGTAGCCTAGTATCTTAAGGTATAAATTCCTTAATAAGAGTTTTAGTTTGGAGTTATATTAAGAGTATTAGTAGCTAAATTATAAACCATGAAACTTGGAAGAGCTGCTCCAGTGGATTATTTGAGAGTAAAGGTCATAGGATCATTTGAGCATTATTGAAAAGGTGGCAAAATAATTGGATAGCTTAACTTACTTACTGGTATTGATCCTACTGAACTATTAATGTAAGCCCCCACTCTGTTAGAAATCTAAGGATAAGATGGATTTGAGTAGAAGGAGCAAGAACCTAGATTAGCTCTTACATCCGCAGAAGAATTAGTTACAGGATAAGCTCTAAAATTCATCATTTTTGTAAAGTAAACTCCTATAAATTAATTTTCTGCTAATCTGCTAGTATATGGAGTTAGATCCTTCCAGTGAATGCTTTGATCCCCGTTAATACCATTAGGTAAATTAAACCCAGAATAAACGCTTGTATCTACAGTTTAAATAGAGCCACTAGTGCAAGGAGACTCCCAGCCAGGAGAAGTAAAATCATTTATTCTGAATACTGTCATATAGGTAATAGTACCTAGGACATATGATATAAATGTGAACAATGCTGAGTTTATCTCTATCAGATACTACTTATTGTTTATACTGCTTGCAACCATTGTTTTTAGCATCTAAGATTTAACTGTCATTGGAGTAACTGCAATATTTATAATACCAATATAGGTTGAAGCTGTTCCTCCATATTGCATTATAAGTTGAGATGATGTCATAGAATATTCTAATGTACAACCATAAACATTATTTCCAGAATTAAAACCAAATTGAAGTTGCGATAACACCATACCAGTGTCAGAGTTATGTCTTGATAAATATAATTCAGAGCCAGTAGTAGTCATTCCACTAGTTTAATAATGAAGACATGAGTAAAGAGAATCATCAACAGGCTAAATTCCTAATTATTAATTTGGTGTGGAAATTTATTAATAGATTTACCCACTATTATCTCTTAGTGTTTTTGCCCAAATTAATCCGCCATCAAAAAAATCAACTTTTACAACAGCATAATAGTTTTTACTGAATGATTGATAAAAATATGTATGAATCATGTAAATAGCCATATTTGAATAATCAATTGTTATCTCTCTCCCTTCACTTGGACCATTTTCATAAAATCTGAAAAACTGAATTTCATAGAATCGATCATATTTCATTAGAAATACATGTTTGGCATTGTTAAAAGCAAATAATGTATCAGTTTATTTTCCCATTAAGTAAGTATCGCCTTATGATGAATCCACTATCATTTAATCTGCTCTTAGATTTAAATCTTACATTTTCAAAACTCTCCCATCAACAAATTTACCCGAATTTAAATGAGTTATAATATAAACAGCATCAACAGCTCCAAGAATTTGTGAAAATGATTAAATCATGGTTTAAATATTATTTTTATAGCCAAAATTACACTACTAAGCGAAGCTATTAATTGAGCCTGCTTCCATTGTAATGTGAAAAGTCATTGCAAATCCCCTGGTATATTGTAATATGAATGATTAAGAATAAGTATCAGCAATTGTTTATAGAGTTTTTGTGCTACCACAAAGAACATAATAATCAGCTTTTGAATAAATATCCATATAATTAATTACATAATCAGCTTATATTCCAAAAGCCATTGACATTGGTCTTGAGGGACATTCTAAGCATTTAATTGAATCTGTGTAGGATACCTCAGGGTAAACCTCAACTTAGAAATAATCTTATGAAAACAAAAGTGGATCTTTAGAGTTTGTGAACACTACCTTAATTGAGTATGTTCCAATATTGGAAACTGTAGGATTCATGCTTAGTGTTGCCTGTGTGCCTGCAGTTGTAAATGTTAAAAAAGAAGGGGGAGAAGCATAAAAATCAACTGACCATGTAAATATAAGATTATTTTGAAAGCAGTCAACTGGAAAATCAAAAGTATAGATTTTAGGGGTTGATATTGGAAGCTAAATAATCTGATTTATCAAATTTGACGAAAACCTTGGCTGATCTCCTTTACATTTGAAAACCTTAGGCTCGTAGAAATTAAACTTATCAGGTTATCTCAATAGCTCCCAGTAATCATCATATGCTGGTTATAACCTTGATTGATAGTACATCTGACCATAGGTAACTTTTGAAGAGTAATCATATGAGATTAAATCTTAGATTTGAGTGACTAGGACAGTTGTGTATCCGAAGCATGAGTTTGGAGAATCCAAATCAATCGTCAATTTATCAATTATCGCCTCAAAATTAGATGATGCTTTAGATACTATATAGATAGATAAAGGCTAATAGTTTACAAATATTCTTCCCGGTAATAAACAAGTAAAGATTGTCTCCATATTGAAAGTTGAAAAGATAATTCATATCGCTACTTGTGTAGTAAAATCTAAAAGAATTAACGATATAATGTGATTACGCAACCAATTTTGCAAGAATGATTGTTGCTTTATCATATTTAGCAATGTAATAGTAGTCATCAGAGCAATGAAAGAGTTCAAATATTGAGTCTTAGCTTTAGCTTAATGCTGACCAAAATAGCTAGTTTGTTGTTGACAAAATGAAATAATAACCATTGACAACTTATAGATTATGATTGTATTATCTCATATACTTGTAATAGGTACTAGTTTTGTATTCTGCTGAAGAGAAATACACAAAATCAGCATTGGTAATTATTTTTTAATTTGAGGTTGTTAAATATCGAGGATGATTGACTACAGCTAATACTTTCCCTTCCTCAGAATCATACTTCTAGATGTAATTATAGTAGTCACTTTATGGCATAATATATACTAAACCGTATGCGAAAAAGTAACTTGAATTTGGTGGGAATCCAACACTTAATATTGATGCATATTGTGTGGTTCCTGTAGGAATAGCATAGGAATACCATTTAATCATCGGTGGATCAATAGTAAGATCAAGTCTGTAATAAAATAAATCATAAATAGTATTACTTTTGTAAATATAGTGAATAAGCTGTTATATCATTTCTATAGCCAGAAATATATCCGTTTTTGCTTTCATTATCTATCCATAATTTAGGCAAAATCTTTGTAATATCAAATGTTCCTGTCACCATTTTAGTGTAAAGTACCTTCCCTCTCTCGTAGCTCATTTTTATTATATTCATATCTGTAGTATCTCGATAGATAATAGTATATATGAAATCGTCAGATGAAATTACGCAGCTCGAAAAGAAGTTAGTTTAGGTATTAATTCTTTTTTAAACATTGTAAGCCCAATATATTTAGCCGTATATACTTGAAAACACTATTAAGCCTCCATCTGCAGAATTTGGATACTAAATGTTTTTATACTTCTATATAGATGTTCTTCCACAGATTACGAAATTACCATTATCTTTATCCATATCTGCTTGAGTCAATGAGAAATAGAATCCAGGATATCCGAGAATTTTTGGAAATTCTTGTAAGCCTTAGCATTCAGTTGCTCCTTCAGTTTTAGGGGCATCAATCATATCAGAAGGCCAAATTACCAGAGTTGCTTATGTCCATGAGCATTTTGTTGAAAACATTTGAATGCATGCCTAAATTTACAAAATTCTCTAGCTTGGGAAGGGAGGATTATTCCTTGCATCAACTACTAATTATGAATTCTAGTTAATTGTAATAAAGTTATTATTAGTAGTCCTCGTCATTGATCTTGCTTCATCATAAATAGTATAAGTAACTTTCATTTTCTGGCATTATTTTAAGCTCAGTGCAGAAATATCAAAACTTTTTAATTCTCCCATATTAACCTCAAAAGCTGGTAATGCTTCCATTGAAGGAGGAGATAGCCCAGTATTTTCACACTAAAATGGTATGTCATAGTAGAAATTTGCTGCCGATTTATCAGAGTTAGGATAAAGTAGTCCTGGACCATATGTTTACATCTATTAGGATTTTATGAAATCTGCATCAAGCAATTAAAGCTAATTCGGATTAATGATTATTGCTAAACTTTAAATTGCAGTATTGACAGCAGGGTATACTTGTTCACTATACAAGTTATAAGGAGGAAAAGCATGGCAATCATAGTACATCTTCTTATAAAAATCATAATGATGCTTCCAAAAGACGACTTCTATAGAAGGAGTTGATGTTCCATATGAGTACATATTTATGCCCATTAAGTAATAATCACTACCTTTTTAATGAACATTACCTCTTGTGATTCTAGCTCCATTATGAGGTTCACTTCTGTAAGTATATTCTAATGGAACTAAATCCATATCAAATTGATTATATGCATAGTACTAGGTAGATGAACCTACCAATATAACATTTCCATTGTTCTCATTTATTACAATTTCTACATTGACTAAATTCACAAGTGTAATTTATACATAGATTTCTTTCAATGTTTGGCCATCTTTATTTAGTTTGATTATATGTGAGTGATAAGGAGCAGTAACCATATATAGAAATTATGTTTTATTACAAAAGGCTAGAGCAGGCTATAAAGGATCCCAATTCGGCAGTTATCTTCCATCATTAAAGGTATTCGACCATAAAATTTATTTTGAGGAAATATCTAACTTCATTACCATAAGGTCTTAGTAAGTTGCCGAAGTTGTAAAAGCAGCATGAGCTAAGTAAACTAAATTTGAGTCAGGATGGAATACTATATACCCAGCTGAATTCATTGATCCAGCCAATTTTGCTAATGGTTTAATAACTAGAGAGAAGTCTGATTTAATGTCATCACCATCATTAACTAGCAAGATATTTCCTGAATACATTGAGCCAGCATTCCATTGTTATAACAAAGAAGTCATTATTTAAGAATCATTATAAGGATTTGTCACCATATATCTCATGTAAGAAACAATAAAGCTTTTGCTATCAATAGGATTAGATGGAATTATCCTCTTTGTCCACTAAATTTTTCCTTCTTCATATGTGATTTTAAGTATTGCATGAATTCTATTAGGTTCAGTACTCCCATAATTATGGAAGAAACAATAAATAAATCCTTTTGACATGGTAACTGCTGTAATAGCATCCTCTACATTTTGCTATGCAGATACTTGATTTAGCCAGTAAACCCAACCAGTTTAAGATATTCTAGCAATAAAGCCATCATCATTATCTTCATTAATAAGAAAAGCATTTGTGGGAGCTGCTTACCCTACTAATATGATATTCTCATCTTCTTTATTTAAATAGAAGCCATTTGAATAAAAATAGCATGTTCCGCAGTTAGAGCCAAATGACATTGAAAACTAATTTTAAAAGCATTCCTTCCAGTTATGCTCCTCAATGGTAAGATTTTGTTAAGCAACTATTCTTATTAGAATTGGATAATCAAAAAATGCTCCACTGCTCGCATATGCTTCATCTGCATATCTTACTTTTAGTGAGAATGATAATGGTCTCACTACTGAATTAGTATTAATAAAAACAGTATCGATACTATCAAATGAAACAAAAGCTTATTAGAAAATTTATGTATCAGTTAAAGGATTTAAAACTTAAAGCTTTATAGGCTTGCCTTAACAATTTGCACTAGGTTGTGTAAATTTAATAGTCTAAGTTCCTGTGTTTCTAATGAACTCATAAATTGTAGAGTCAGGGAATTTTACGCCTCTAATATCTATCATTGATTGCTAGTACTCTTAATATGGGTAAGGTCAGAACTCGTTTGGTAAAGGAGATGTACCCCAGTTTTATCTTTCGGATGCCAAATTGCTAAAACTCATAGTATTCAATTTTATACCACCTACTTCTGTGAGAAAAGCTTAATTTGAAGTTTAAAGGATACCTGGAATTTCTACACCTGCTAAAATGGTAATTATTGGGCTAATACTAGTAGTTAGAAAAGTTGGGTAAAATTATGTTTCTGATGAAGCCAGAATAGGAATATCTACATAGTTATAGGTTTTGCTATCTTTAAATATCATAAAAGAATCTTTATTTGTTGAAGCATAAAGTCCTTTGAAAGCATAATAAGGCGTATCTAAATACATCACGATACCAACAGATGAGTAATAACTTGTGTATTCTTACTTCCACATTCTATACTCAGTTACTGTGAAGGATGATGAAATTTTTGCGAAAAATATTTAATTGTAACTTGCTGTTAGGTATATATTCAAGTTTGAATCCGATGCAGCTGATGCAGATTCTAAGTTTACTGTAGAAGGAAAAGTAAAATAGAAATTTGTGACTCTTGTCAAATCTGATCTTTTTAAAACGAAAATATGAATCTAATCATTTGTTGTCTTATAAATAAATGGGGCTATCAGCATATTTTAACCATATAATGAAGGGAAAGTCATCACATCACTTTGAGCAGTATTAAGTACAGATTTTAGAAGCATTGCTCCATCAGATAATCTTAACTAAAATA